CAAATAATTACCAAGATATTATGTAGTAAGCTATAAGTAATAAACTATAATAATAGAATATTGTTAATCAAATATTGAAAAAAAAGTTTTTTTATCTTCTCAATTATTGCAGTAACTTGTGTTATTTGTCGGACTATTTCACTTTTTTATTGTATTATTTTTTAAGATCTTTGATCAATTTGATGTGGATTTCTTCTTGATGGAAAAAAAAAACAAAACGCTTCTAAGTTTTGTATAATTGTTGTAAAAGTGAAAACAAAGAATTTTTTGATAAGTTTTCAGAGACAGAAATTAAATAACAATTAATAGCATATTTTCACTGTAATAACGCAAATTCATTTTGTACAAATTTGTAAATGTAAATTCATGACCCCTAATACGTTTTCTTTTTAAAAAGCAACCTCTTTAAAAGGAATGTCTATTTCGAAAAATAATGGCGAGGTATTGTGCAAGTTCTATAAGAGAATTGCAGTTTGAAACGAGATGCAAAATTAGTTTCCTGAAGATCTTCGTAAATTCATAGACGATTCATTCCGGTAAAGTCACGAGGCAGTTAATCGCATCGTTTTCGTCGCGTCGGTTGTGAACTGTGAATGAGGAGAACGCGAGAAAGGTCGAGGGTGACGACGAAGGGGAGGGGGAGGGGGAGGGGATTAATTCCGGGCGTTTGTAATTCGAATTGAATTTATCACGGCGGAAACTATGAAACGACGAACGGACAGACGGACCGACGAACGAATGAACGAACGAACGAATGAAGGGAGTCGGCAAACTCGGGCTTGCGGATGAATAATGGAGGCCCCAATGAGATTTTCCAGTTCGCCGCGGGGCACCGTAATATTAGCTTACCGTCGCCATCGCGACTCGTCCGCGACGTGCACGAAACGACCATCAGGCGTACAATCCGACCCGAGGTTTTAGGTTTGGCCACCCCTGTGTTCTACGATGCCTTCATACTTTTCTCACCCTGCAAAGTTGACGACTATCATCGGAGAACAAACGCGAAAAAAATATCAGGGGTTAAAGAAGATGCCGCTGGGTAGAAGGGATAAAGATTTACGCTCAGGTGGTTAATTAAAATCGCAAACTAGTCAAAGACACGTCTAATAATGGACATACACACACACACACACACAATCGAAATTTTTTTCTCATAATATAAATCTTAACATCACGCCATTACTTCAATAATGACACAATTAAAAAAAAACATGAGTTATTATCATGAATAAGTTAGATAATCATTAACTTATCAATCATTTAATGTGAAAGTTTTATGAAATATAAAAATCGTCGAAAAGGATGATTTTTAAAAATCATCAAAATCGTCAAATAATAAAAAAAAAATTATTTTTTTAAAGGTCATGAAACATGAAAATAATATTTGATCATGTTAAGAATACATTCTTTTTGCTAATATAATTTGATTAGTTAATAATTTCCTCTTCTCTTTTCTGGAAAACTCGATTTTCTGCTATTATTTCCGGAAAGATCGAATAATTTAGTCGACGAGTCCCTCAATTGACCGGCGCTCGCTTTTACAAGACCGGTGTGTCATCTCGAAACGCGTAACTGGATAATGCGAGCGGGCATTCCCATCGATCAGATGAATGGAGAGATAGCGAGAAAGGGAAAGCAAGATCGAAGGAACGGCGGCAATTCGTGCGACAGCCACCGTTGGCGAGAAAATTGCTTTCAGTCTGGCTTTTCGCGACACTTCGCTTGGGACTGGTGGCAGTGGAAAGCGAGGGCAGGAGTGCGAGAGGTCGACCCTTAAAGAAACGAGAAACGAAAATGTATTTCCGGATGTATGCCAGCAAATCGAAAACCCAGACCGGCGATTGTGCGGGTCGAGTCTCCCGCTCAATGCTGAATGGGCCATTCGGCTAAATTAGAAAAATTACGTGAGAGAGAAAGAGCGGAAAGAAGGACAGATTGCTCTCCCGGAGTGGTAAGAAATGAGATATTTCTGTGGAGGACCGCTGGAAAAAGGGAGAAAAGAAGAAGGCATTATCGCGCTGCTTATAAATGTATACCTTCGAGATAAAATTGCGAATGAATTAATCTGGCTTGTAAACAGATGTATTACACAGAGCGAGAAGAGAATTTAGATGAGATATGACAAAACGAAATCTGTTAAAAATCACAGAAAGATATCTTCCAATCTTGGGAGACGGAAATTCTCGGAAAAATTAAGTTCAAACAATTTAAAGATATTGAGTTGCTGCACTTAATTAATTAGTACTTTATTTTTATTACTTGATTACTTTAGTTTGAATATACGCAAGTGACAGATATTTTATACGAGATAAATTTTATAGGTAACAGAAGTCTGACAGGAATAGAAATTCAATTTTGCTCGAGCATATTAATCTTATATTTATAGTCGTTCTGATTTTGCGGTTGTCGCGTTAAATCATGGAAATTTTACAAAACCAACATACAATATTCTTCGTATCTTCGTAAGAAGATATTTATATCGAATACAAAGCTTTAGTTGAAAAATGCAAAACTAAATAAATTTACCCCTATCCAAGTAACGTTCACAAATATTTGATCGTCGCAATTTGTCTCTTTTTGATAATTATGTAAAACGTAAATCCGTAATGCGTTTCTCTTGTTCCCTTTCTGTGAAGTTATTTTATCTTGACAGTAAAACGTTGCACAACTTTTGTTATATATTGGGTCATCTAAAAACCGCGGATACTTTTTAGATGACCCAATATATATATATATATATATACGTTTGGTATGTCTGGCGTGTGCCGTCACTGCGTTTTTGACAAGTTCTCCCAGAAAATGAACACATTTTGAAACCGTAACTCCAAATTTGAGTGAAGTGCATTATTTATACATTTTGACTGACATAGTTGTCATCAGTGTTGACACCGGTATCTCTTCGCCTGGCAATCGCTTTATGTACGTAGAACGTAGCTCCGTGTGTGTCACCCTTCCCGCCCTCATTCCTCTGACAATATTTGCATTGTTCCGGTACAGTCCGAACGACCCTTACGTCCATCCCCTTTCACCGGTGCGTTGCAAGAGTGGAGTGGAGTGACGCAGACGGGGAGGAGGGAGGCGCCGGGGCCCTCGCGTAAATCCATTTATTTATTTATTTATGTGCCACGGGGGGGCTCGGGCCGACGAGGGGGTGCGAGGTGCGGCTTATAGCCGGCGCATGCATCGAACCGGGAATCCCATGGGAACGACCGTACGGGATGAGAGGGATAGCAAAAGTCACGGGGAACTCGCGCGCGGATACTCGACTTCGTCTCCGGGCCTCTCCAGGAGCTCGCTTGGAATATACAGGGTGTTACTTATTCATAATGTTTAATGTGTAGAATGATGATTCTTGCCAAGGAACAGTTTAAATTTTTGGGAATGAAATTTTACTCCAAGGAAAAGTGATAGTTGCGGCAAGGAATGAACTTCACTCCTTCAGGAGTAAATTTCTTAACGTAAAATGTCAACTTTAATGATTAATATCTCGCTTCGTAAGATAGAGCGATGTTTTTTTTTCTATATTCGTTCGTTTTATGCAAAAATATGTCAAATGAGCTTGATAATTTTTAGATTAAATGTAGGAAAACTAAACTTTAAGACATTTATCAGAATGAAATTTTAGTCTGTTCTTTTAGAGAGTGAAATTATTCACTCTCCATACAGATTGAAAATTGACTCCCATTTGGAATGATTCTTTACTCTTTGGGAGTGAAATTTCACTCCCAAAAACTTAAAGTATACGAGAACGTGTCGAGTGCCAGAATTTAAATGAGATATATTGTCACAATTAGGCATATAAACAAAACTAGAGTTATTGACATTTAATTCTTTATATATCGACTAAAATATTTTTAAATATTTTTATTTTATTTAAATAGAATTTATATTAAATCTAAATTTTATTCTCTCTCTATTGGAAAAAATTCTTTTATTCTGACTCTCATATGTAACATCATACACTATTTTTCAATAAAATTACGTAAGTAAAAAATTAACAAACGTTTTCATCCTAAAAATTTTTCTTACTCTTCCTAATTTTGATATAAAACAGAATTTATACAATAAAGAATTTATCCATCTGTATAAAAGGTCACTTAAATTTTATTCGAAATTTTAAAATTTGCTAGGCAGAATTTATAAAAAGAATTACTTCTGTGCCTCTTAATTTCTTATAATTAATTTAATATAAACTCTATTTAAATAACATAATTTTTAGTGTAAAAAGTTAATAAAAAATTAAACGTCAATAACGCTTCAATTGAAAAAAATTAGGAAACAAAGAATTCCGAAAGAATTTTCTTCTTGTTTAAATAACTATATTATAACGCTACATTATTTTGAAGTTTACGCCTTCAAGACATTTTCTTCAAAATTTTCAAACGTTACTTAAATATCATCTTTTAAAGTTTTGTTTAGATTTTCAAATTTTTCTATTTTAACTTGCTCTATATATGCATCGATCTCATTCTCGCAGATATTACGATCGATCGAACGATAGGCGAACACCCTGTGTAATAGCAAATTCTCTCGAGGCATCGCGAGCTTGAAACGAAAATGGTGTTGTGCCACTTAGACGCGGAGAGGATCTCTTTCCCGTTCGATCCCCATGACTGTGACACACACCGCAGTTTTTTCTTCTACTTTTTCGCGACGGGATAGACCCTCGTTTTAAAGCGACGGCCGTATTACGGATTACGCCGTCTGACTCGGCTTTCCGACAGAGTCGATGTCTTCTCGGCAATGTTACGGAGAGAAGTAGACAAAATCTCTCGGTACATTGACGGCTTACAAATAGAATTCCAAGTAAATCCAAGAAAAATAACATGACTCAAAATTGCATATAATCTAAACACAATTTTCTTCTGAAGTGAATCAACTCCTCCAATTCAATTTCAATGAAAATATATTTTTATTTATTTTATAAAAGTTAAGTGTAATTTGTTTGAAAATGCGACCATTGTGTTTGAATTGATATTTGTGTAAAATTGGTTACTCACCCAGTTGGCCACCTTCTGTCTACGTTCGAAGAGACGTTGCTGGAGTTTCGGGCCAGGACCCGACAGGAAGGCTCGTACCAAGCTTCGAGTCTTTTCCAGGTGATTCGGCGTGATAGCTTCGACCTGCGCCAAGTATTTCTGCAAGGTCGTCTCGAGGTCCGGAACCGGAAGACTCGGTAGAGCCTCCTCCTTCTATAAATCGAACGGAAATAGGTGATTACTGCGAGCGAGAAGAAAGAAGATTGAAATGAATTATGCGACGAGTAACAAAAGGCGGACATAGACATTACATTTTCAATTTAAGTGATGTGTGCATTTATAAAAAAAAAACATTATATATATTTTTAAGATTTATTATAACATATGTATATAATATAATAATATATTGTTCTGTTAAAACTGTAGTAACCGATTCACCACTTTTAATGCGAATGAAAGAGACATCGGACGGTAGAGAAGAAAAAACAATAATAAAGTTATCAAATTATGTTTAATCGAAAGCAAAACGCTTCTGATGGACTCTCTCCATTTTAGAGTTCAAGCTATTCCAAAAGCTTTGACTACTATTGCATAACGTAACGTCCGATAGTCACAATCATCGGAGACGAATAAGCGATGTGGAAAACGATGACATAAGGCGACCGGAAATTGGCAGACGAAAGGGTCACGGCTGGCAGCGTGTCCTACGTCCTACACTGGACATGTATTCGTTGCCCTTTGCGGGGGGCCACGGCGATTGTAAAATAAAGAATCAATCGAGAAACGAAGCGTGCCTCTGATGGAGTAAGGACCCTTAAGGCTAGCACGGTTGGTTGAACGGAATCCCCTTTTGCAGGCCTAACAAGACCAACTTTGCGATCCGAACACCCTCGTCCTTCAGCTTGAGTGTTTCCGGCGAGCTTGTGTAAGAATAAAAGAGAGGAAAGAGAGAACGAAAGAAGGAGAGAGGGGGGAGGGAGGGGAGGAAAGACTATCCTCCTGTAATAGATTTTATTCCCTTTTTAGCAGATTCATATGTTTTGTAGACTCATTAGTCCTTAGATCGATTATTCTGTCGTTACAAATTATTGATACATTCTTCTAAAAAATTGTAAAATTCATAATACTTAATTTCACTGGTTGATACAAAGATATTTTTGGACTTAATTACTTTCGAACTTATTACGATAATTAACACACGGAAATGACAGTTTTGCTGAATCTAATAATTTAGTTAGAAAGAGATCTATAATTTATTGGGCCATCAAAATATAATTATGCAGAACACTCAAGCTAATTACTAAAATGACAAAACTTTTTGCAGTTTTACTGATGCTTGAAATTCCCACGTAATTATTTTGAATGGCGTGCAACAAAATTACTTTCAAAATTTTATATCTAACTAAATTTTTAGTTACTTCAGCAAAACTATCAGTTTTTTTTTTCGTGTGGGAGAAATAAATTTAATTCGTTGTAATAAATCGTCTAGGTACTCCGTCTAAAAACCACACGAGTGGAATTCAATGGAAAAACTTGAGAATTTCGTACATGGAAACGTGCAGAATTCATTCCAACTTTGCAGAGTGTCAACTTAAGCTACCTCCGACTTCTCCAACATTCTACCGATCCCCCAAGTTTCCTTAGAAGAGAAAACTTTCCCATCATATTATTCCGACAACTGGAGTCCTACCTATGTTCACGTCAAGGAACTCATTCACGCTAGTTCCTGAACGATTCGCGAACTTTGTCGCGTCGCGATCAAAGGGCTCGGTACTATTCGCGCGCGCGAGGAGCCGAGCGAGCGGAAGGCGATCTTAGATACTGAAAATCGTGTGCGAGATGACATTCGGAGGGGCAGAGGGGTCGCGGGTCGGGGGGGGGTGTAAGGTCGTTAGCGGAGTTTCGAGCGGTGCATAGCAATGAGGCTTGAAAAGGGGGTGGAAAACCTCCTGGGAATCCGGACACCCGTTATACGGAGAGCGGAATGAAACGGAGGGCGTGCGTCGTGTTGCGGAGGTAGCTGCAGGAACAGGACAGGAACGACTGACTCATGCCGTGCCAGGATAATCGAACTCGTTACGACCCGACTCCCCGGATTCGTTTCGTGCGTAGAATCGTGTATCGTCCTTCTGCGTGGTGTATCGATGGATCGGGATTATAGCGCCCAATACAATCTTTTATGAACTTAACTGTTCTTAGATATACCGAAAAAAGCCTTTCTTCGCTTTTCACAAGGAAATGTAAGATAAGCAAACTTCGTAAAGTAAAAAAAAAAATCAAATTTGGATTTTAATGAAACTTTGTATGTATATATAAATTATATAAATAGATAAATTTAGAAAATATCAATTGCGGCTAATAAACGGTTTTAAAGGGTGAAATCATCCCCTATATTTAAAGCAGTTTTAACTTTTTTCATATCTCAATAACTACTTATCAAAAGATTTATACAAAAGATATATAATAAATTTATCTACGTCATATTAAAAAAAAATTTTTTGAAATTTATTAATTTTAAGATTTATTTTTTATTTTGAATATTTTTGAAATATAAAGGGTGATTTTCTAAATTCATTTATTTATGTAATCTACATATATGAAAATTTTTATTAAAATCAGAATGTGACACTTTGCGAGGTTTCTTTGTTAGAGAGAATTATGTGACGTTTAATAAAATACGCAATCTCGTGAAAGGAAATAAACGATCAATGAAACCGATTATGTCCTTTCAAAGAAGAAAGAAAGCTCTCATTAAAAAATCTGTATAGCTTTCCAAATCTTTTTGTAAAAGAAGAAGAAGAAAACTGAAATGAGAGTTCACTATCGCGCAATTGCATTGCGAGAATGCAGAAATAAGAAGAGGCGGTAGAGGGTTGAGAAGAATCGTTAGATCTCGCTGAATAATCCTGTGAAGAAGTCAGATCGATAAGCGAGATCGACACGGTCCGCAAAACAAACGTCCGTAGATTCGACTTGCGCTCCTTACCGATGCAAAACAGCGCGGAGGGTCGTAGCAATTAAGAGATAACAAGGTTTCCTCCCCTCGGTGCCCCTCCAATTAGTAACACTCCCGCTGCACCACGCTAGAACGGCGGAACAACCACCTCGGGCTCCCCTCGTCGCAGTCCTTCACCATCGCCACCACTACCCCCGGCGGCGGTTCTCCCGCTTTTTCGACCTATCTCGCCCTTGTTTGCATACCGCGACGGTCCACCAGGGACTTCCGCGGGAGATTGCGAGGTGCCGTTCTCGTGACGGTAGATACACATTATCTGAGATGCGCTTGCAGATGGAAAATTCAAGGGAGACGATTCCACCTCCGCGCGAAGTTAATTTTTAACTATCACAGTTTCGCAAGGCAATGCATAAAAATTTCATTAAACTAATTTTTTCTGTTACTTGCTTCCTAGATCCGTTTTTGTAACATTAATGTTAGTCTCGAGTCGACTTGACAATCTATTCTTGGACTTAAAAATTCCTGCATATCGTAGACGCAACAGATATGTATAAACTAAGCGTTCTCTGATCTTAACTTTTATTCTGTTGAAAAGAATTGAACATTATCAACATTTCTCTTCAGTTTTGTCAGCATTTTTCTTCAATTCGATATTTTAGAGAGAAAAAGTGATGTACTTCAAGCTAGAATTTTTTATTATAAGAATTCTATTTCAAACTACCTCACGTTTTTTAAACTGACAGTGACAACTTCATAGAAATGTGCAGTCTATTCTTATTATGTCTATATTTTATATATATATATATATATAGGATGTCTCACAATTATCACATTTCTTCTTAAAAACATATTTTTGAGATAATTTTGAGACGAAAATCCTAATACAAAAATGTCGAGTACAATAATTTTTGAATTATAATTGATTAAAGATAGTATGTAATATGAAAATTATATAGTCTCGATATTTTCGTATTAAGATTTTTGTCTTAGAATGTTTAAAAGAATCCAGAATTAATAATAGAGTAATGAAAGTAAATTTTGATATATATATAAGCATTTAAAATTATAATTAAAATAATTATTACAGTCTCGACATTTTCGTATTAGGATTTTCGTCTCAAAATTACTTTAAAAAAATATCCTTAAGAGGAAATGCGATAGTTGTGTAATACTCTGTATGTACGAAAAGAATTTTTTATTCATTTTAATATTTCTACATTACAATATTCTATGTAACCTAGTATAACTCATAATAACATTTGCAGTCCACAACAATTTTAAACAATTACGTGTGCATGTAAAACTGTAAGGATTTAATAAAAAATGAGATAACGCAAGAATAAAATATATACTTTAATTTTTCATACCGAATAAACATAACTTTAATGAGCTACGATTAAAAAAATATTGCAATCATCGATACTCGGCGAGTCGTGAACAAAGATAGTTGCTTAAACGCGATGACAGAGATAAAATAATTTAGCGAAATCGAGCAGAGAGACAATGAGCAGCGAACTATGAGAAATTAGTCGATTAATAGATTGATAATTTGCTGGAAAATGTGTTACAACAAACGGATTACGCGCTTTCGCCATGCGAGAAAGAAAGGAAAAGAGAGCAGCCCGGCGGAGCGGGATGTAGAAAGGGAGGATGCCAGGGGGGGGAGGGATGGACAGGCAATTATTTCGAATTCAGTACGTTCGAATGGCAGCCACGTCCGATTGATTATTATCGAGTCGAGCAAACGAGGGTGCTTGATCGAAGCCAGCCGAGCGTTGCGCGGACTTGGCGATGCTGATTAATATCGTCGACGAGATCGACCATAAACACACGTTGCGCAGTTATCGCCGGACTGATTACAGGTAAACTTGGAATTGTAACTGCTATTTTAACTGCTGTTTATGACGGCGATATTTCCCGAGAATGAGCAGAGCACGAAACGAACTCGCATTAACACCCTAACGAGGCTCTTCGTTAAAACTTGGTAATTAGAGATCAACATTTATTTGTAGCTATCTAAATACAGCTGAACATAATTCCCTGGAAAAATGCAAATAAAATTATACATCGTTGAATTATAAAAAATGTGTCTCAAATTTTTGTGGCGTTTATTTTCGTTGTATCTGTTATGTTAGATCTCTCATTGTAATTTTTTTATCGCAGCACATAGAATTCTTCATCATAATCTTTCATTGTGACACACGAAAGAACGATTTTGCTGAAATATCTAAAAATTTAGCTAAATACAGAATCTTAA